TGGTGGTGGAATACAGGAAGAAATGGCTGTTATTTTCTTCCTCTTTGCTGCCTTGGTGGACTCCATCTGTGATGTTGTAGGATTCTGTAGCAAAAGGGGTGTGGGGATTAAAAAAAAAAACTTAGCTAATACCTACATAGCATCTTTCCTCTGCATGTGCTGCCTCAAAAGACAGTGCAGGGAAATGAGAATAAACTAGGAACAGTTTTGGGAAGGAGTGGGGTCTCTCAGCCTGGGGAGAATGGCACTGACTGTAACATTTAATTTGTCAGGTTGATGCAGACAGTCAGAAAGGCAGTTAGCTGCATGTTGTCCTCCTGTCAGGAGAGCTGGGCTGGGGGAGTTGAGAGCATCTGGTTCTCATTGGGCACTGCCTTTACTTGGTCTTCATTCTTGTTTGTGACATTATGTCTTCCCCCTCCCTTCCTTTTTCCTTTCCTTCCTCAATCTTTTTTTTTTTTTATTCCAGTGAGTTTACAAGTCTTGCTGGAATGCACATATGGTCCTTATCATCCCCAAAGTCCAGCTTTTTTTTTCCCCTCCTGGTTAGCAATTTGTGACATCAGGGGCTGCTAGAGGCATTAGTCACTTTTACTCCAAATAGAAAAGTTAGTGGTTTTTGGAAACCTATGGAGGAAAATGTCTTTTATGTCAGCCCTTGGCACAAATGCAGCCGTTACTGCTCTGAGTCTGTGCTGACCTTTAGCCAGACATTTTGCCTGGAAGATAAATGTCCTTTCCTACTCCCTGCAGCCACTTTGGAATTGTTGGATTTTGCTGACTTCCCTCTTCCCAGAGGAATGTGGCTGTATCCTTTTACCTATCCTCATGCTGTGTGTGCTGTGCCAATGGAGGCTGCTCTGTTGGCCACAGGCACTTGGTGCTGGGCCTGGGAAAGCCAGACTCTTCTGCTACCCTGATTCTCAAGGATTAGAAGGATAAAACGGCATGTTCAGGGTGAGCCTTGGTGTTCCCCATGTCTTCTCTAGTTATTGAGCTATTTCTGGGCAAAAGTCAGGGAGCTGTGGCAGCACTGTGAGTGTTGGCCATCCAACTTGCCTCCCTCTGATGGATCTTCATAGTTTACTTGGCATAATAATCCGCAGAGCGAGTGGCTGTCTTCTGCAGTGGCTTGCTCCTTATGCAAGGAAAAAAGACCTCCCAGCCTCCAGTAGCTTGCATACATCTGCCCCAGCTGGCAGCCAGGCGTGGAGACAGGAACTCCCCCTCTTAGGCTGGTGACACTGATGGTTATCCTGCCTAAAACAACAACAGGCCTTCCTTTCGTGATTAATGGATTGATTTCCATGGTCTGCGTTCTTGCACCATGAATGTACTATGGTGGGGGGAGGGTTGTTTCCTTTTATTTTCCACAGTGTTGTTATATTTTTCTCATCCAAGAATTAAAGGCTCAGCCGTCACTTCAGCCTCTTCAAGGAAAGAAGGGGAGGTTACAAACAACTCCAGCAGTGAGCTTGGCTTTGGTGCAGGCATGGGAATGCTTCATATCCTATCAGCTTTAACATGGGGAGAGGGTCTGATAGATCTGCCTTGTCCCTGGTGCTCTTTGCTTCTGTGCTACTACTGCTTGCCCAGCTAGTCTGTTGAGGTCCCTGGCTTTGGATGCAGCAGAGATTACTTAAAGTGCAGCAACCTGTGCCTGGTAACGGGGCAAAAATGTGGCTGGCCTGTGCTGCTGACAACAATAAAAGCTTTCAGAATTTCTCAAAGGTTCCTCTGAAGTCGTGTGGCCTCCAATAACTAAACACTCACTTCATATTTGTGGTCTAGCTCCATGTTTTGCATACCAGAATTTTTCCCCTCTTGAATTGGAGGCTCATTTTTGTTTTCTTTAACTCTTGGGAGGCCATGTGAAGCTGACCCCCAGATGCCAGAAGCAGTGGGACAGGAGGGGATGAGGGGGATATTTTGCTGGCAGACTTAAAGCAGAAGGGGCTCAGCCAGAAGGCTGTTGGGGCTGAGAGAACAGCTGCTGTGGTTCGGGGCTGAGTGAGGAGATCAGGGCAGTAACTAAGATTTCTTTCTGGTCCCATGCTCTGCAGTCTCTGGGAGATGCTCCTTTCTGCATCTCAGCTTGCTGACCAGGCACCTTCTCAAGTACAAGGGAGTACTCTGCTTTGCACTGCAGCTCCAGAAGTGGCCCTCTTCTAATCCTACAGCCCACCTTCTCCCTAGCTGCAGGCACACTGTTGCTGTCTCCAGTGAGAAAAAATAGGTTTATTTCCCTTTATTCCTGTTAGCTCTGCCAAGCCACAGCGGCTTAGAAGGAATGAGCCACTTCTATCCTTGCACACGCTTCGTCAGCCAAATTGTTTTACAGAGCTTCACTGAATTACATCCAGACAAGCCCAGAGCATCCGTTACGGCACTGCTTGACCTATAAAGCCGTTACCACCAGGAGCCATGTGTGAAGAAAACCAGATCCAGTGCAGAGTTAGCAGGGCTCTGAGCCCACAGTCTTTCTTGTCATTCTGCAAGGAACGTCTATTTTTCCTTACAGCTAAGGGTGTTGGGAGATGGGGTCCAGGCAATTCATCTCTTCAGAACATCTGCAATATGATTGTTGATCCAAGAAATATTAACTGTTAAATGAGTTGTAGGTCACACTGCAGAGAGAAGTGCTCAGTATCTGTCCCAGTAAACAAGCATTTATTTATTTATTGCTCTGTAGCTTTTGTAGGGCTGGCATATGGTTTTAGAAGTTTTAAAATTCCTTTCTGGTCACATAGATAGTATATGAAGAGGGAGAGAAGGTTTGTCCTGTAAAGTGGGAGTCACTAGAAACAGGACTTAGTTCTAAGAAAGTTTTGAACTAAAAATTGCATTTAGGATGTCTTAAAGTCTCCTGGCATCTGACGCTGTCCAGACATTCACCCTAGTCTGTCCATGTCTGTGGTGCTCTCTGTGGAGGTCTGCAGGGCAGTGGTTTTCCCCAGGCTGATCCTGTTCATGCTTTCAGAGATTGCAGGCTGGGAGAAATTATTCTTGTGGAGTGCTTGCAAGAAATTGGTGCTTCCACTTTCAGTGATGTGTCTGGGCATTACTAAGGCACTTCTCAGGACTGCACTGTGGGCTGAGGGGCAGTGGAAGTGTTGGTTTGATTCAGGAGTGTGTTTAGATGCGGTGTGGAGGAAAGAGAGCTGTTGTGCTGAGTTCTATGAATCTCCAAAGGGAAAATGAAGAATTCCCTTGGTGGACAGGGTGATGATGTGCCTTTCCACTTGAGGTGGAGTGCCCTCTGCCTTCCTGTGGCGGGTGGAGTGCATTGGGCCCCAGAGTACTGCTCACCTCCCTTCATGTGTACATCTTGGGCCCTGGGCTCAACTCTGGGGGTAAGATCCTTTGCTTATGGCAGCCTTCCACTGCTTATTGACTGTAGGCACCCAGCTGACAGTGGGGTGACTCACTTGAGAACCCAGCCTGCTGCCTCTCCTTGATGGCTGTCACAGCAACTCACAGCCAGATCGTGGTGACCGTCTGATTTAACGTCTTGTTGTTTTTTAAACACTTCTTTTTTGCCAGACTGAATGCATGAATCACTTGCCTGTTCTGCTAATTATATGCTGAGGAGCCACACTTCTTGCTCTTCAGCAGAGGTTTGTTTCCACATTGGTACCTCTGAGCTCGTGTGCCACTCAGGCTTTCACTTCTTTCAGATCTTGCTGAACCTCTAGAGCCCTGGGGGCTGCTGGGCAGCTCTATGAGCTCAGCCCAGTGTGTTCAGGCTAATTGGTGGTGGCAAAAGCAAAAAGGTGATTGCAGAAGTGGTTTTGACTGTGGAAAGATTCATGCTGATTATTGCAAAAAATAAAAAGTGCTAATTGTGATACAAAGGTGAAAATGTTCAGCCTCTGCCATGAGAGAGGAGAGAGATTAATTCAGCCCAGCAGTCTCAAATTGCCCGGCATATTCCATGGAGTATGTAATAGGAATATTGTGTTAAGCAGGGCTACATCTGTGTCAGTGGGCTGCTGGGGCCCCCCTGAGCACTTGCAAGTTGCTGAGCTCTCCTTGCAGTGAACAAATTCTCCTTTCTGCATCCCTACTACTCAGTGAAGTGTGCTGCTATTTGGAGACCACTGTGGGGACGTGGAGATGGCTTGTTTCATCTCTGCCCACACCTTGGGCTCCTGAGATTTTCCTGAGGGTTTTGCTGTTCCAGACAGATACCAGACTACACTTTTGCCTCCTGTTATGTGGTGCAGTTTGTAAAAAAAAATACCCGGTATTGAAAATGCAGATACTGGTCTTGTTGATGTTTGCAGCTTGCAGAGAGGAAAAAGGAAAAAAAAAAGCAATCAAAAAACCATGTAGCAAAAATAACTGACACAGATGCAGGAGATGACTCTAACTCCCATTCCTGCTGAGTAACTGATGATGAGGCAGTACTTGCTTTCCCAGAATATATCAGGGAAAGAGATGCCAGTACTGCACTGAGGGTTGTTTCACACCCACCACTTTCTGCAGAGCCTATGAGTCATGAGCACCCAGTGCTTTCTGGGATCTGCCCAAGCTCCCTTCACTTAACTATAAACCCAAGCCCACTGGCGTTTTAAAAAATACTTGTGTTACAAATGTTTTATTTAACCCATTCACAGCATGCCTAAATCCCAGGGTCTCCTTCTATCGACAAACTTTTCCAGAAAATCACTGTTGTGGATCGGTAAAAGGATTATGTAGGTAACAAGATGCTGAAGCCTCAGAAACAGTATTTGGGTGTTGGTAGTTTGCTACACCCAGTTCACCAGTCACAGGCATGGAGAAGCAGTCTTGAAAGTGCTTGCATGCCTTAGTATTGGGGACAGTTAGCTCTGGAGCCCCACAGTGGAGAGCTGGATACAAGTATGGAGAGCTCATATGGTTAGACAAACCTGAGATGAAACTCTTGTCTCCTGAAAACTTCTGAGTCGCCTGATGAGTGTTGGATGTGACCTGCTGGTCAGCCTCCCTGTTACATGTCTGTCTTCTTGCCTTTACAGAATGATGACCTTAGGAACCTGTCCCTGTCTGGCCATGTGGGCTTTGATAGCCTCCCTGATCAGTTGGTTAACAAGTCAACGTCACAGGGCTTCTGCTTCAACATCCTCTGTGTGGGTAAGCTGTTTCACACTATGGGTTGCATGCAAGCCCACAAATTAGCACCTTATCCAAAGGATAAGATCTGAGCCACTATTGACTTTAGTGGCAGGGAAGTGACAGCTTATTTCTAGAGCTGCTACAGGCTAGGAACTAGTATTCCACTTCTTTTTCTCTTCCGTCCCTTGATTTGAAATTTTTGAATTTGAAAGTGTTCGAGGTACTGATGGTCCTGGGGTCCTGCTTTTCCCAAAGACTGCCATAAGAAAAATAAGTTGATTTGGGAATTGAATGAATTTTTAGAAAAATGTTAATTTAATTTAAATTTAGGCACAGAGGCTGCTTCTCAATGAATGGCATTTCTTTTCTTCCAAGGCTTTGCCTGCCTACCTTGTTATATTCTTAGTTTTTCCAGTTGGAAACGATGTCGTTTTTAGATTCCAAATGATGTATCAAGTACAAAGTCTGTCACCTATTCTCTGCTGCATTTAATCTGGGTGCTGCAAGTTGGTTCAGTAGCCTGAGTTACTGTGTAATTTTACCCAAATTTTTCAGAGGTGCAATATGGGGAGGTACCAGATCCTTTTGAATATAGAGAGGTGCTGTCTCTGCATTTTATAGCTGTTATACAGAGACAAATCCATTGCTCAGCCCTAGGGAGCTGTGTGCTAAAATATCACTAACCTAGTGGTGGACACCTTCAGGATATCTCCTGTGATTGAGGTTTATGAATACTTAAAAATGCTGTCTTTTACTGTTAGCTTGACAAAGCAGTCTAAAGACAACTTCTTTTCATCCATTGTTTACTTAAGGCTTAAGAAGGGCATATTGTCCCTTGTAATAGAGGGGGATCCAGAGAGGTTGTGGGTGCCCCATCCCTGGAGAGATTCAGGGCCAGGTTGGATGGGACCCTGGGCAGCCTGATCTAGTACTTAATCTAGCAATTGGCAACCCTACGTGGGCAGGTGTTTGGAATGTGATGATCCTTGAGGTCCCTTCCAACCCAAGCCTTTCTATGATTCTGTGTTTCTAATAAGTTAATTAACTAGGAAAAAACCACAGCCCTCTGTGATGTTCTGTGGTAAGAAGAGTCTTTGTCTGCAGAGCAGGATAAACCATCTGAAAAAATCTGGCAAACTAACTCATTTCCTCTTCATGGCTTTGTGCATTGAAGAACAAGATAAGAGTAGTATACTTGTGCATGCTCAGGCTATCAGCTCTTTTAGCAGCATGAAACCTTTTAAAATTCAGCAGGGAACATATAGATTAGCAGGCGGCTCTTTGATCAAAATGGCATAAATTAATTGCCTTTTTCTCTTGCAGTAAATATTCCTCTCTTAGCATGACTTGATACATTTCCATTAGCAGCAATTTGCTCCAACTCTTCTCTTATAAAATGTGCTGATCAACCATTTTTAGCTCCACATTAAAATTTCACGCAAGTTCCTGCAGTTGTTCAAAGAGGAGAAACTTTCCCCTTAAAACAAAACTTTTCAAATTCCCTTTTCAGAAAGGATACCATCAACTTTGACATAGTAACGTGAAGCTTCTAGTTGTAGTGTGCGTGACTGAAATGCTGCAGAGCTGATCGAGCAGAACAGTCAGCAGTGCTACTTTCGTATCCAGAGCTCACTATAATACGTAGCTGCTGACTGTTTCTGTGGACACAAATACTGCATGGTTTGCTGAGGTCTTCTGAGTGGGGCTTCTGCACATTTTGAGTGAGAGATCCTAGAAGAGTGCAGACAGCCCAGAGAAATGCTTGGGGGCCATCCCAGATGCAGGCTCTCTTCTCCCGCTTTATTTTCTGCATTGGTGAATCAATCACTTCAATTTAAGATTTTTCAGGGCAGTGGGGAATCTTGTTCACAAGCGAGTAGTTTGCCTAAATGCTAACTGTAGTGCAACAATGAACGTGGTTTGGATTTCCTCAGAAGAGATGGAGCTTGGCATTTCTGTCACTTCTGTTGTTAAAAAATATGTGGAGAGGAAACTTTACTGAAAATTTGGCTCGTCTGTGGTATGACCTTGAGATACTTCCTCAGCCCACCCCCTGTTCACAGCATGGGCAGCAGTAGCAGTTGGAGAGGGTAACACTAAGCAAACGCTTCTGACTTAAAAATGGGATTTAGGCTAATGCTTTCATCAGTGTTACTAATTGCACTGAGGGATTAGCCAACTTACAGGAGTTGTAAAAGTTGGCATTTATGTAGTATGCTATTTCAGATTTTATTATTGTTTATTTTTAAAATTTTATGTACTTGTCTCAAGTCTTCATTACCCAAACTGTGTTTTTGGTTTTTGTAATTCTCTTGAGAGACAAATAGAAATTGATTTTGGGAGGAAAAAAAAAAGGCATAAAATCACACAGAGAATTGAATGTCTCCTTGAGAATCAAGCTTAGAGTTGAGAGAAATTAGTTTGTTTCTGTAACAAACAAACAAAAAAAAAGCAGCAGAATGAGGACTTGACCAACACTCCAACACTGTTAGAAAGATAAGTATTTCTCAGTAAGAATGCTTCATGCTGTCCCTTGCAAGATGTGCAGGTTGGGGTTTTTTCTGCTGACAAGCAGGAGTGCATCTACAGCTCTGGTCAGGTCATAACAATTTAAAAACAACAAATAACAGCTGAACTCCACCGAGAGCAAATGCTTCCTTGGGAAAGGAATGATTATCTGTCTTACCCTTCATGCCAGTGTAGCAAGTCCAGTAACTGACTTCTGGTAGAAGCAGGCATTTGCTGGAAGGAGTCCTTTTCCTTTTCTATGCCGAGGGCCTTGCTCAGCAAATGTCTAAGTGACTGTTCTTAAAACAGTTTCTTTTTTTCCTTTTGCTGTTTCTAGCTCAGCAGCCTGGCTCTTTACCTGCAGGTGATAGCTTTTAGCTCAGAAGGCGTTTGGTTTATCTTCATGTCTTCAGAGCAGCAGCTTTTGCCTGACAGGAGCTTGTTTTGGATTCACTGGTGCATGGTGCTTTGATCAGGGTTGTCTGCAGGGTGTGCTGCACAGACCTGGCCAGTCTGACCTGCAGAAGCCAGAGCTGCTGATACTTCGTGACATCCACAAAGTCCCTTGTTCAGTCCAGGGGTATTGGTAGAGATAGGGACTGTCTCAAAAGACACCTATTCATCCAGGGATTATTTTACTTAGCTGTATAGCCTAATTCCACTAGTGGAAAAGCAAGGTAACTCCTTAACCTGGTGAATTGCCTGAGGATGAGATTGGGATGGGAGATGGCACCATTCTGACTCTGTTTTTATCTGCTCAGGTGAAACTGGCATCGGCAAGTCAACATTGATGGACACTCTGTTCAATACAAAGTTTGAAAGTGAGCCTGCTACACACAATGAGCCTGGTGTGAGATTGAAAGCCAGGAGTTATGAGCTCCAGGAGAGTAATGTCCGTCTGAAGCTGACCATTGTTGACACGGTTGGATTTGGAGATCAAATTAACAAAGATGACAGGTAAATTTATTTCTACTGGGAGGAGTCCTGGTGCTGATGTGCTCTGAGATCAGAAAGTCTTGATCCTGTGTGGGGAACAGGATAGGTCCCCTGTTGTTCTGAGGATACTATGTGGTTCTAGTGTGGCAGCTGGCACTGCTGACCCTGAGAGGTGGGTAGAAGTGGCAAGAAACTGAAGAAGCAAAAGGATCAAGTAAAGGGTTACAGAGCTGGAACTACATTTCTGCTGGCCTTATCGTAGCATCGCTAAGGTTGGAAAAGACCTCTGAGACCATCCAGTCCAACCTTTCACCAGCAAGTCCACTAAACCGTGTCCCTCAGTGGCACATCTACACATTTAATGAACACCTCCAGAGATGGTGAGTCCACCGTCTCCCTGGGCAGCCTGTTCCAATGCATTACCACTCTTTCTAAGATGAAGTTTTTTCTAATATCCAACCTGAACCGCCACTGGCAAAAGGCCATTCTGTCTTGTCCTGTCACTGTAACCTGGGAGAAGCTTACCCCTGCCTCACCACAACCTCCTTTCATGTTATTGTAGAGTGCTCAGGTCTCCCCTTAGCCTCTTCTCCAGCCTGAACAATCGCAGTTCCCTCAGCCACTCCCCATAAGACTTGTGCTTCAGATTCTTTGCAGCTTCACTGCCCTTCTCTGGTCATGCTCCAGGGCCTCAATATTTTTCTTGTAGTTGAGGGGTCAAAACTGAACGCAGCACTAGAGGTGTGGCCCCATCAGCTCCAAGAACAGAAGGATGATCACTTTCCAAGTCCTGCTGACTACACTATTTCTGATACCAACCAGGATGCTGTTGGCATCTTGTCCATCTGAGCATACTGCTGGCTGATGTTCAACTGGTTGTTGACTAATAGCCCCAGATTCTTTTCTTCTACTCAACTTTCTGGGCACTGCCCTATCCATGTAGTTATGCGTGGAGTTAGTTTTTGTAACTGAAATGCAGGACCTGACACTTGGTCTTTGTGAATCTCATGCAATTGGCCTCAGCCCATCTATCCAGCCTATCCAGATCCCTCTTTAGAGTCTTGCTACCCTAAGGCAGATCAACACTTCCTCCCAACTTGGTGTGTTCTGCAAACTTACTGAGGATACGCTCATTCCTCTCATTCAGATCATCAATAAAGATGTTGAACAGGACTGGCCACAGTACTGACTCCTGAGGGAAACACTGATGACTGGTCTCCAACTGGATTTAACTGCACTCACCACCACTCTCGGCCTGGCCACACAGCTTATATTTTACTTAGAGAGGAGTATACCTGTCCAAGCCATGGACTGCCAGCTTCTCCAGGAGAATGCTGTGGGAGATAAAAGTCAAAGGCTTTACTAAAGTCTAGGTAGATTACCTTCACAGCCTTTCCCTAGTCCAATAGGAAAGGTCACCTGGTCATAGAAGGAGATTGGGTTGCTCAAACAGTACCTGCCCTTCATAACCCCATGCTGTCTGGGCCTGATTCTCTGCTTGTCCTACACATGCAGCATGATTCACTCAAGATGATTTGCTCTGTGAACTTCCCTGATACCAAGGTCAGACTGACAGACAAGTAGTTCTACAGATCTTCCCTCTGACCCTTCCTGTAAATGGGTGTCATGGTAGTGACACAGTCCCCTGTCACCTAGGTCCTCCTTGTTTGACAAGGACTGCTGATAAATGATGGAAAGCAGCTTGGTGAGCACTTTTGCCAGCTCCCTCAGAACCTGTGCATGAATCCCATCCTGACTCATCAACATCCTCAATTGCCTGTCCCTCAAGTTCTAAGACCCTCGTTTCTATAGTGGAAGGGCACCTGAAAGGATGAGGTGGGCATGGAGGGCGTTTGCCTGCCACCTTAAGGAGAGATCTATTTCTATTCCTCCCTGCTTCTTAGGTATTCTTCTCCCTGATGGCAAGAAGGTAGGGGACCCTCTGCTACTTGCCAGGTGTCCCCATTGGTGCTCTTCTTGCAGGGATGGCAATGTTTCCCTCCACCCATTCATCTCCCTTTCACACTCCCTGATATGCCTTAACATCCTAGTGATGACTGCTAAGTGAGCTGGCCTCTTGAGCTAGGAATGGCTCCAGGCAGCTCTCTGCTTGCCTTGTGGGGTCTTCCTGATTTCAGGACCCTCCCTTGCACACTGCAGTGCCCTGCTCCTCTGCACAACTGCCTGCCTTGTCAAAGAGTTGATGGTGGTCATCTACTTACCACCCTAATGGCTTTTGCTCATTGCGCGTGTTTCCAGCTAGCAACCATCAAGTGAAACTGGCATCAGCAAGTCAGTGTTGCTGGACACACTGTTCAGTACAAAGTTTGAAAGCAAGCCTGTGAACAAGGCTGGCGTGAAATCTTCCAGGTAACTAGTGATAGGATGACAGGTTATGGCCATAAGTTGCATCGGGGGAGGTTCAGGTTGGATATCTGAAAAAATTTATGCTCAGAAGGATTGATAATGCAGTGGTACGGGCTGCCCAGGGAGGTGGTGCAGTCACTCTCTCTGGAGGTGTTCAAGAACCATGTGGATGTGGCACTGAGGGGCATGATTAGTGGGCGTGGTAGGGAGGGAATGATGGTTGGACCTGATGATTTTAGAGGTCTTTTCCAACCTTAATGATTCTATGATTCCATGATGCTATCTCCTCAGTTTCAGGACACAGCTTGCACACCACAATCCCCCACTCTGCTGCTGAATGTATATGCACAGGAGGTGATCCCCTTTGTCTATGTGCAGCTTAGTTTGAGTATCTACCTGAAATGTAGAAATACTTGAATACGCATTCTCATGTTGCAATTGCTTTTCCATTTTTAGGTGACTAGAACTCAGATTGTAGTTCCTGCCCACATCATCTTGCATTGCTCAAGTCCAGCTGAGTTTTGTTTTAATCTAGGCACAGATTTCAATGTTGCCAAGTATAAAGTAAATATTCTGGGCAGCCTGTGTTGTGAGCAGCCTGCACACAGATATAGTCCGTTATATCTATCCACTTGGATTTTTGGTGTTATATTTAAAAACGGTCACCTTGTGATAATGGCTAATAAGCTAATATTAATGCATTTCCTAAATTTTGGAGCCATGCATTCCCTCATTACAGCAGTCCCATCTCCCTCTGCAGTCTTCTTTGCAACTCTGTTCCCTGCACCTAGATAAATGAGAGATGCTGACTGTCAATGTGTGCAGTGAGCAAAAGCCATGAGGGTGCTAGGTAGATAAACAATATCATCTCTTTGACAAGGCAAGCTTAAAGTGAAAGAAGATTCCACTGACAATTCTGTTAGTGTGGAGACTGAGCAGACGCTGTTTCTTGTTCCCCAATGAAAACTTTGATTTTTTCAGAATATTATTTTTACAATGCTTTATTTCTGGAATGCTTCCTTGCTCCCTGACCTGCACTGAAGAGCAACTGTTGTCCTTGTTTTGCTGCTCCCACTCCTAGCCAATGCTATGGAGCTGATGCAGGGAGGCACGCGTGCAGCCTGGAAGGAGCTCTGCACATCAGACACTGCCATATGCTCTCAGGCTAGAACAAAAGCTGCTCAGAAGAGGAGCAGGTGCTCGGAGTGGGGATGCTCTGCAGCTTGTTACTGCCGGGTCACTTTGCATTTGCTTTATTCAGCAGACAAACGCCAGTGGTATAGGTAGTGAAGCCCCTCTAACTTCCTGGCAGCCAATTGGAAGCAGGGCCAGTTTTGCTCTGTCCCAGAGCAAAGCTCTGCTTTTGTGTGGACTTTGCCATGTGTAAGGTCTTGCTTTATTAGCTTCTTGGGCCTGCAAATTAACTAACAGTGCTCAGTGGTGTTTTCTGGGTGTCTGACGTCAGTGGCCATTGTACAGCAATGGCTATTTCCTGCTATAGCTGTTCCTTGGTAAATTGAGCAAGACTCTGTTCTACGTAAGCCACAGTTTTGACAACTGCTTGAACAGCTGCAGTGGCATCTGGAGCAGAGGATCAGGACAAAAACCTTGTTGGCTGCCTGTTGTGTTTCCTGGAGGACCTGAAAACACCCCATTGCTTGCTTCCTCATAGCCACTCCTCAGGGAGGACATGAACACCTCTATGAATCTAGTACTTGAGGTAGTGGCAGTGTTGTCTGGTCTCAGTGCCATCCTCAGGGGTCTTAATTGGGCCAGAGGTTCTGAGGTTGCACTGGTGGAGAAAAAAGCAAACAGAAAAGTTTCTTTTCCAGAAGTATAATCAGTCAGATCAGAGCATGTTAAACCATGTCAGCATTTTTTTTCAGTCAAACAGTCTCAAATATGCAGTGACTTTTGAGTTTTGGTCACAAGCTTCAATTCCTGAAAACCTTTCTCTTTTTTTCCCTGTGTATATCTCTCTTTCCTCTTTTAAGATCACAAACAAAATTATGGAATAAATAGGGGGAGGTGATTTCATAGTTACATTTTCTTATTTCTGGTGATTTTCAATGGTGTTGTCAGATCAGTGGTTCAGAACTCAATGGGAGATACTCCAAAACAGATTTTTCTTCAGGGTAGCAGCTTTGTGTGCACCTAAAGTCCAGGCTCTCTGCCACATCTCCTTGCTAATTTGTCCATAATGAACTCCCTGTGCACCAAGCAAAAGCACACACTTGGTAGGAAGGGCCGGTACATTGGATGGGGAAGGTACCAAGTGTAGCACTTTTCTTTATAATGCTCAGAGCACCCATGAAGCTTCCTGGTGTTGTTCGGTAACTTGTGTTGTCCCAGCAGTAAATGTTTGCTCAGTGCTCTCTCTTCTCTCTCCTCAGCTACAAGCCCATAGTAGAGTACATCGATGCGCAGTTTGAAGCCTACTTGCAAGAAGAGCTGAAGATCAAACGATCCCTGTTCAATTACCATGACACCAGAATTCATGCCTGCCTGTATTTCATTGCACCAACTGGACACTCACTGAAATCCCTAGACTTGGTCACCATGAAGAAGCTCGACAGTAAGGTACTTGTTGGCCATGTTATGCCCATTGCACAGCTCTGTTGGTTTTTGTGGATTTTATGACGTTGCCAAAGACCTAGCTAAACTTGCACAGAAAAATACTGTCTGTATTTAGCAGCAGGGAATGGCAGAGATGTGGTGTGAAAATTTTATTACTCGGGCTGGCTGCTGGGATGGGTCATAATTCAGTGGTTCATACCTTGCACAGATTTAATAGAAGTGTAGACTCTCATCCTTTTCCGGTCCCACTCCCAGTTAGGAAACTAGACTGCTTTGCTCCACAGCTACGCTGTAAAATTGACTACAGGAGAGCTGTGGTTTAACACTGCCAAGTTCAGTGACAGGTTTGTTCACAACTGAAAGATCACTTGGCTGCTGGGGGAAAAAAAGTATTTTTTCCTCTTCCAACCCATAAACAAAAATGAGAGGTTGAAGTTGAACTCAGCTAGTTCTGCACTAAGCTTTTTGCCATCTCTAGTTTACTTTATCCAGCGACTAGTTTTGGTGTAAAACCTCATATAAGTACATGTGAGAGGGAGAGAAGTACATCCAAACACTTAAGGTCACCTTACAATCAAAGAAAAACAAATCAGAATACTGTGTCTGCATGCTCTGAGCATATCCAGCTAGACACAAACAGTGATTTGTTCTTCAAGGCAATGTAATGTTACTCTAACCGTGATCTGATAAACACCAATCTGAATAAATGTTACTCTCCTTGCATTTTTTCAGTTACCCTCCTTAGTCTCAAAAACAGGAACCAAACTCGGTTTTAAGCATGGTTCCTTACTACTAATTAGTAAGAAGTTTTGATGTCTCTTCTTTCAGGGAAAATAACCAATGTACAAGTGTACATTCAATTGAGATTTCTCTGTGTTTTTTATACATCATGATTAAGCAATTTAAATCTGCCCACCCCGCTCCCATGGATTCTGATTCTGCAAAAGATAAATGATGACAATGCTTCTTTATTTCTTAGAGTGACCCATTGATTGGGGTTTATTACAGTGATGGAGAAACATCCCTGCTCTATTCAGCTTAAAATAGGGTTAAAGTGATTAACCCAAAATAAGCTAAATGGCATTCATCCCCATTCTTTTGGCAAAAGAAGGATTTAATAACTCCAGGACATCCTCTGAACAGAATTAACTGATGTAATATAAGAGGATTTTCAAGTACTGTAGATAAAATCCCTTCATATAGGTCAATATTATCATCTTCCGCACTAGCAATATTGTCTACTGTTGCAAAGGAGGATAGCAAGAGAAAAGCAAGTTCTGCAAGATCAAAGACAGAAAAATGGTCTGTCTGGAGGAAGTGGAAAGGAAATAACGCCGCTTTCCTCCTTCTTGCATGCCTCTAACTTCTCTCAGCAAAGCAGACGCTTGTGCGGTGCTTGCTTTTTGTGGATCAGTTCAGCTACATCTAGACTCTGCCATCTCCCTGTGGCTTTCACATGCTGCCATTTGCTGTTTACTACCAGTGTTGCACACTGTGTGGGGAAGAGAGCCAGTCCCTCATCTTTAATTTCTGTTAACCACATCACGCTCTTATCTTTGATTGTCCAAGAGCTGTAAAGGGACAAAACCAATCCTCGCTTTGTAGTGCAGTGGTGTAGTAGAGTGCGTGTATGCATATGGGTGGAGGAGCAGACCTCTGTTACTGCTAGCTCCCCTCCTGCTCTGGTGGGACAGCAGCCCCATGGTGTGCCCTCATGTCTGTGATAGCAGCACCCAAGTGAGTTCCTGTGGGAGGCTGTTGTCTGAGTTTGTCACAGCCACCCAGCCTGCTGTGGCTCAGAGAAGTGCCTAGATGGTAATTTCCTTTTTTTTTTTTTTTTTGGAACAGCCTGTAATAGTCTATGACAGCATTTCCTGTCCAACCAATTTGGATGAAGAGGGGAATATGACAGAGACAGGAAATAGCATGTTGCCAAATTGCATTTGACTTCTTTTTAAGGCCATAATTGCTGCTGCCTCACTATCATGACTCTGGCAGCAGCCATAGGGAAGTCTTCTGCTGGGTTGGTGGCAGCCGGTGGCGCTGCTGGGGCTATTGCTGCAGGATGCACGTGCTGCCCTGTACTCTCCTCATAGTGCAACATGTGCAGTGCTCTCCTTGTCTTGCAGGTGAACATCATCCCCATCATTGCCAAGGCTGACACCATTGCAAAAAACGAGTTGCACAAGTTCAAGAGTAAAATCATGAGTGAGCTGGTCAGCAACGGCGTCCAAATCTACCAGTTCCCAACAGATGAAGAGACAGTGGCTGAGATCAATGCCACAATGAGCGTATGTCTTTCTTTGAGTTCTGCTCCCCTTGCTTTCTGTGGGGCCATCCCCAAGGGCTGGGCACATTATACTATCTTTCTTTTGGCTTTTGAACTGTGGTCTGTGCACAGAATCCAGGCTGGCCAGAAGACTTTTGGAACTGGAGATATGTAGGCTGCCTGACCTGACACATTTCCTTGTCTGTCAAGCAATTCTTCTCTGAGCATTTTTCATGTTCTTCCCTTCTCACACTGCTTCTATCTCAGGGAGGAAGAGGATGGGAGGCAAGACCTGGAGCAGTCGAGCAGAGGGCTGAGGTTTGGGTTTCTTGTCCTGAGTGACCATTTGGTGCTCGGTGGGGTGAATCACTTCTGCCTTTGTTTTGTTTCCCAGTGAGAGCGGGGTTGCCATTGATGCTCCAGTTCTTGGCAGGGCCAGTGGCCATCAGTGGCATGGGCTCTGGCTTTCATTTCCTTCCCTTCTCTGCAGCAGTAGCAGTGGGAACTGAGGGCAGACAAGACGGGTAAAGTGAGCATTTAGTGGGTTTTACACTGAGAAATGACAGTTTGCCGTGGTTCTGATTGAAGTGCAAGGGGAAGAATGCGAGCCCCATGTTTCTGACAGTGCCATGCCTTCACTCCTGGGCTCATAGGGCCACTGGGTGTCTTTAGCAAGGCAAGTAACACACAAAGGGATGTGCTGATTCCAAAGTAAGTGCATCTAATGTGAGCAAGACTGTGAGTGAACAGAAGATTGAGTTGCTATCAGCATTTCACAGGGAGTAGAGGTGTCATAATTAAGCCATTTCCTTGTAACTTGAAGACTTTGGGAGTTCCCTGCACAGCTGCCTGTAGACAGGCGATTTCCACATGCAGCTCCATATCAGACCCTCTCTAAATCTCTGCAGTGTCTCCCTTTTTTCCCCACCACTGTTGTGCTTACAGCAGGGGGATGCTGGCACAGAGAAGGGATGTGCTTCTGCCCAGGCATAGTGTGTGTGCCGTTTTCCTCTGCAGGGAAACTCCTTTGCCAGTTAATCACATCCTCTGGAGCTTGGCTTTTCCCCTTCCTGCCCAGCCCATGACCACAACCTGGCCGCTGAGGCACCACGCCTGGAGCTCACGCCCAGCCGCTTTGGATAGGAGAGCGCTGTGGGCTGAGCTGGTGGGAGAGGCAAGCTCCCCGCTGGCAGCAGCTGTGCTTCCAGGAGCAGATCCCAAAGTGCTGCTGCCACACCCGCAGAGAGACTGGGATGCAGCAGTGCTTGGTGACTCAGACGTGTCAGCCCTGGGCTGGGTCACATTGGCTCTTCCCCTTGCTCACGGTTTTGTCCTTTCGAAGAGGAAGCATTCATAATTATTTCAAGCGGCAGAACCTCGCTGAATTTTTAGGTTACCTTGCTTGGGAGGATGTATGTTATTTCCTTTTTCTCTTTTTTACTATTTTTTACTATTTTTTCTTAGAGTTCAAATTCAACTCAAGTTTGTCCTTTTCTGTGCTAAACATGGTTGTGTATTGTAATGATGTGTAAAATATGTGCACTTTTTGTATTTTTAGAAATTCAGAGTTTGGGACTTGAGGTCTGAGCAGGTTTCTAACCCAGACTGTCCTGTTGCTCTTTCTAAAACACCGGCTGAATTGCAAAGAGACTTAAGTAACTTAAATCCAGCACAGCTGCCACAGTAAACAGTTTTCTTCAGAAACAATCCCGGTCAGTGCATCAAAGGAAATCCCTAACCTCATTGTCCCTTTCCTCCATAGGTCCACCTTCCATTTGCTGTAGTTGGTAGCACTGAAGAAGTGAAGATTGGAAACAAGATGGCAAAAGCCAGGCAGTACCCCTGGGGTGTTGTCCAGGGTATGTACCAGAAGCACAGATAAGTCCTTGTCATCTTGTCTCATTCTAAGGAAAGGTATATTGATCTCTGGGTGCCCCTAATCAAAATCTGTCTCGAGAAAGTGAGATCGCCACTCTAAGGCTTCTCCTTAAAAACAGGGCTTTGTGACCTGGAGATGGATGGGATTCAGTCTGGCCACTTGCTTTAGGGAAGAACAGGGTAACTCTACTAGGAAATGTTAAATAACTGATTTCTCAAATGAAAACATAAATTGTCCTCTCTTCTGTGTGCTTTTTTGCCAGTAATGAAGCAAGAGCAATGGGGAAGATATGAGCAACTGAATGGTTTGGACTTTGTACACAATGCAGAATAAAAGCATACAGCTGGGCAGGGTGGGGAGGGGGGTTCTAGGGAGGGGAGCAGATGCTGTGCCCTACTAGCTTCCTTCAAGAAGGAGCAGAACCAATCCAGTACTGACTTCTTGGTATGTCTTGTCCTGGTATTCTAATACATGGATGCGCAGCTTAAGTATGAAATACCTCATAGAGTCAACTGAGAGCAGAGTTTAGCTCAGGTTGTTTGAAGCCCAGACTGTCCCAAAGCTCCCTAAGATAGAGCTGGCCCTCACTTTCCCAATTGGTGCTGGAAATTAGAGGGTTGAGACCATGCTGGTCTGTTGGTGGTTTTAGCTGCATATCCAACTGGAGAATGGCCCAGTGAGCTGCAGGGGAGCATCCACAGAACAATTCTGCAAAACTCACCCCATTTTTTCTTCAGTAACACAAGCTGAGGCAGCCTTGGATTTATTGTCTATGGCTGTGTGCGCCAGAGGGTAATTCTGGGAATAGCTGACAGTTAGGAAAGGAGCTCTGTTTGGTAAGTCTTCTACTTGACATGTATCCTGCTGGGTTCTTGCTGTTCCCAGGAACTAAGAGCAGATAGTCTAAGAGATTTATCTGGGTACCAGAGGGACTTTGAAGATCTAGCCCTAAATTGTCCCTTTCCAGTGAGACAGCTGCTCTGATCTCTGACGAGGAGCAGCTGGAGTTCTCTGCTGAGTCCCCAAGGGCATGCTACAGAGCTAGCAGCAGAACCGCTTGCTGCTTGCTGTTGGATCCTAAAAAGAGAACTTCCATCCCTTGTTTTTCAGAATACTCAAACTATTTGCTGCTCTGAAACCATATGCAGCTCTCTGGTCGCAGACCCCTTGGAGTCTGAGCTGCTTGCTTTGCCAGGAGCTGAGGGGGGCATGCTTGACCCTGTTGTGCATAGAAATGGTTATGAGAGCCCACATTCTTCTGTACTTGTGAGCTGCCACGCTCTCAACCCCAGAAGCAGAGGTGTAGGGCTTCTCTCTAAGGTCAGCTGCCACTGAAAAAGCATCTCTGGTGGGATATTCTCATATTCTTGCTTTCCCCAAAGCCACAAGTTGAGACTTTCTGGCTGCCTGCCATGACTCTGTTGGTGACTTGCAGTTAGAGTGGGTTTGAGTGGGAAGCACAATTCCATGTGGAAAGGGATCATATCATCACCTTGCTAGTGAAGAAATGCATGTGGAACCAAAGAAAGGACAAGGATGAGAGGTAATGGCTATAAGTTGCACCAGGGGATGTTTGGGTTGAATATTAGGAAGGATTTCTTCTCAAAAGGATGGGTAATGCATTGGTACAGGTTGCCCTGGGAGGAGGCACTGTCCCTGGAGGTACTGAAGAGATGCAGAGATGTGGTACTGACGGACGTGATGTAGTGGGCACGGTGGGAATGGTTCAACAGTTGGATGAGATGATTTTAGAGGTCTCTTCCAACGTTAATAATTCTATGATTCCAAGGAAACCTGGCTGCTGGATTTAATGTTCTCTCTGTGGATGGCCTGTCTTTGCAGTTGAAAATGAAAATCACTGTGACTTTGTGAAGCTGCGGGAGATGTTGATCCGAGTGAACATGGAGGACTTGAGAGAGCAGACACACACACGACACTACGAGCTGTACAGGCGCTGCAAGCTAGAAGAAATGGGATTCAAGGACACAGATCCAGACAGCAAACCTTTCAGGTAGGCAGGTGTAAATCAGTTCTTGTACAGCCAGAGAGCTGGGAGGTCTTGGGGTTCCCAGTGTTTGCACTGACCAGAGGAGGAGTAGCCGTGGTCAGTAGGAGCAGCTGAGATCCGAAGTGTGACTGGGGAGTAGAACTTTGCACAGTGCAGTCCTGCTCTCATGGCCTAGGATTTGTGCTGGAGAAACACAGGAAAAGCTTGAGTGGTTGACAAAGCCAATTCTTGCCTTAATATTTTGAAAATGTCTGCAACCACACAGAAGGGCTATACATGCCTTCTAGAGCCTGCAAGATGTCAGCAGGATGCTTGAAGGCAATGTGTTTTGAGAGTAGGATATGACTAATTTCAGATCAAGTTGCATCCTATGAATTTAGGAGGAAGAAGTATATGACCACAGATCTATCTGCACTGTTGCTTAAGTTGTACCAGCTTTCTTTGCACCCTTTGAGCTCCCTTTGCTTAGCTGCATCAAATGTAAATTGCTGGCTATCACTTGCAAGACCTTTCAGTCTATTTCCTACCTGCTGTTGGTCAGCCAGTATTGAGAAGCTTTGAAAAAAAAAAGATTTCTAAACACTCCTTTTAGAAGTGGGAATCAGTTTCTCACTGATCTTCATAAGCTGATGTTTGAAACTGTCTGCTGCTCTGCAGGGCAGAGAGGCTGCAGTGATGCAGAGCCTCCCAAGAGGATTGTTTCTGTTTCCTGATTTCATTGTGTTCTCAGCAATGTGGAAGTGGGCAAGTTTTTGTAAGACACAGTAAGAGAGTTGGAGGTGGTCAGCAATCAGGGCTTGTAGGCACGCCTGGTTAGGAACGGTTAACCTCAGTTAACATTCTTGGTGAGTTGTCATTTTCAAGCTAGAAAAAGCTCTTTTGGGGATCGCAAAGCTGATCTTTCTCAGCTTTGCTGTTGCTTTCCTAAAACCCTATGAACTGTCCAGTCTTCAGCAATGCTTACGTTCATCTTTCTGCTGGCAGCATCCTTCCAGCTTTCCGGAGAGCTGGGTGAGTCTGTTGAACCAAATACTTGTTAATTGCTTTGGAAATTCCTCCTGATGCTTTTTTCCCTGGGAGAAGGGCAAGTTTTGAGATGTTCAGGTGATATTTTAATGGCCCCTTTCCTCCTCTAATGCAGACACAACTTTCTAGCTGCCAGTTCACTTGGCCAACAGTTAGGGCCAGGTGCAGTAGCTGCATTTTGGCTGTATCCTTTCTGTGATGAATGTGATTCATGCATTGAGATATGAACTGATTACCGAAGGGGAGATCCTGGATAAATGTTCTTGTTGACTCTTCTGGAGTTTTCCCACAGCTAGTCCAAGGTGTGGTGTGAAGACAGAACCATGGTCTGATGTTTTAGGTTTGTTTTATTGCTAGATACGGTTTATACTGCACTGACAGCTTTGTTGGTTGGAAGCCCAAGTCATTATCCAGGGATGACAGCTGTGTGGGAATTTGGGAGCAAATGTTTGTTTTCTTCCTCTGTTTCCTGTGCCTCCCCACTTTTTTCCCAATAATTGCACCCACTGCCTTAGCAGCATCCCACGCTCCTCTGCCCCAAGGGAGAGCAGTCAGATTACACATGCATCTTTGCATTGACATCAGTTTGTCTCTGTAATGCACATGCATATCAGGAGGTGACATGCCAGTATCTGAGATGGTAGCCATGCAGATCACCACAGACAGATGTGATTTGTCTCTGATGTTCACTAGGGAAAAGCTAGGTCCATGCTGTTGCTGGAAAGCAGCAGAGTGTGACTTGTGCCACAGCACTGAGTTTGCTTTGGTTAGGGGTTTGATTTGTGGCTTGCTGAGATTATGCAGTTGCGTTTCTTCTGTCGTGGAGAAATTGTGCTGAAATCAGTCAAGCCCAGTTCTGTTACGAAGCCCAAGTGTGAAGCTTTATTGGATTTCCTTTCTGGAGAGCAATGGCTTAAGATGGGCTCAGCCCGTCCCTTCCAGGAATCTAAGGAATTTCCATTACTTCCTGTGCACGAGGCCTCTTTTGACCAAGCTATAAGTAGAAAGGAAATGAAAATGTACAGAATTTCTCCATCTGGTACGTGCTAGTTCAGAGCAGTTCGCTCTGGCTGCTTCCTCCCCCTCTCCAATAAACAAACAAAACCCGTGAACCTAAGCTGTTTGACTGAGGCCAGTGTATATTTGAAATGAGGAAAACAGCATCTTTGGTTCTCTCTGTTCTTCTTGAGACTGGTGATCAAAAGCATGCCTTTGCCCTGTGTCTGGGTGCTGGGAGCTGTGGGGACAACTGCTCTTCAGACAGTTTGCACTGGAGAGCCCTTCATAAACCTCAGGGGAATCTGGGCAGTTACCCAGCCAACTAATGGTGATGAGTAGGCAGTTGCAAATAGGAAGCTGGCAAAGCATTTACAAGGTGGGGTGTGTTTGGGAAATCCAGATACTCTTGGAACGTATGTTTGTGCACTTAAAAAGCAAATTCCCCTGTCATCTTTGTGAGAAGCTGTAGGATTCCCAGTTGATTTGAACTGTTATTCCCTTGGGACTATAAGAATTTTTTTCGAATGCAGCCTGGAGTTACTGGGCTAGTTTCTCTGTGAACTTGGCTTCAATATATATGTAGCTTCAATATGGAATTTGGTTTTCCAGCCTGAGATTAATGGCAAGTTTTTAAGAAGAAAGCTGGGTTAAGCACTGAACCTGGTGGGCTCCTTGCGAGCCTTTCCCTTCTTGCACATCGCCTGGCATTGCATTTTTGGAAATGAGCTTTGCAAAAAGTTGTTGGCAGTGCAGGATACAGTTAGCAGTGTGGAGAGCTTTCCAGTTCAGTCCATAAGGCTCTGCTGCTCCCTAGGATAGCGTGTCACTAATTGCTGATCCTGTTTTTGCAAATTGAACAGTAAAGACCAATCAGCACTCAGGGTTTTCTTGTGCTAGATCCTTCAGAAGGGTTTATGAATTGAGGTTTTATTGTCCAGTCAGAGAATTAAGTCCAAGAATGAATTTTAGGAAGACTTCAATTCAAATGTCCAGATCTCTATCTGCTGCGAATGGAGTGATTCTTAATTCAGCCAAGAAACCAAAGGTGCCTCCTGCGCTGCTCTCACATGAAAAGATTTTTGTGATTTTACAGTAAGTGGTTTTCATTCAGTATGTGAGAAGCTGCTGTGGTTGCTCCAGGGTGGGTAGTGCTGTGCAAGAAAGCTCTGGGCAGTCTCTCCTGAGTTTTTTTTAGGACCGAATCAAAGCACCCATTGGTTAACAGTGCTAAGCCCAAGACTTCTGTCTTTGTGTCTAGTTTTGTTCCCCAGCTCATAGAAAAAATAACAAAATTACAGCCATAAGCTAGGAAAGATAAAACCTAGGCATTAATGGGATGAAGACATCCCACTGGCCCAGCAGTTAGTGTGTTCCTTAGGTTCATGCATGCAATGAATGTCTCTGATTGCAGTGGAGTTTTCATTTAAAAAAGAGAGTTTCAGAAAAGCTTGTGGGGAAATAGTTATCATTCCCACACTATCGTGGTGGCAGAAATATCCAAACCCATTTAAGGAATAAAATGAAAAGGAATTTGGCATCTAGAGCTCCTACAAGGCTCTGAAAATCTCAGAGGTGCGTGGACAATATATTTGGTGTCCCAATACATGCTGTGGTACCTCAGTGGTGGGGAAATAAAGGAATACAAGGAAGTGGAGGAGGAATAAAGGTATGAAAGAATCCAGTGGTGTGGTAATTCAGTGTAGGAACGATGTCTCTCATTTGCAGAAGCTTTGTTCTTCCTTGACAGTTAGAGGAGATACAGAGGTCCCCAGGGTGGCTTTATCTAAATAAAGCTCCTGGTCTGAATCCATTAGTAAAAAGTAGTGAAAATTAATTTTGCTTTGTGTCAATGTCCTGCTTAATGAGCTACATAAAGCCAGGTTTTGCTCTGTGATATGCCTGTCTCTGCTCCATAAACCTTACACTTCCAGTGAGATTCAGGACAAAGAGTGTGAGAAGTGAGGACGCATGAATCAAGCATGTATTGAGGCGTGCGAGCATCAGGGATTGCTGTAGGTGATTCCACAGTGACTGCTTATTTTGAAGGACAGACATCCTGACTGTTAAGCGGCTTACAGGATCCTTAAGTGTGCTCATTTTTACTTGCTAGTTTGACCCCCTGACCAATGCTGCCATCTAGGAAGCTAGGATTGGTTTTGGTGGAGGCATTCATGCTGTTCTTGCGAGTCAGGGACCTCTGGTGATGTTTTGTGGAAATATGATGAAACTCATGACTCTGCATGAAACGTGGTTCTGACTTGGTTGTTGTTGTGTTGTTTTTTTTTCTGTGTTTTTGCAGTCTCCAGGAGACTTATGAAGCAAAGAGGAATGAATTCCTGGGTGAACTACAGAAGAAGGAGGATGAAATGAGGCAGATGTTCGTCATGAGAGTGAAGGAAAAGGAAGCAGAATTGAAAGAAGCTGAGAAAGATGTGAGTATATTGTAACTCAAAGGATGTTGTGTGAGGGTTTGAGCTGGGCTTTTTCCAAGAGAGTCCTAAGAACTCAGTCACCTTGATTCTAACATCAAGCCTGAAAAGCACCTTGCCTGTCATAAAGAGTTTCAGGGAACAGATGTGGACTCAGCCCTGCCACGGACTTGTGGTGTGACCCCATCACATCGTCGATCACACATCTGCCTCAGGGAGGGGCAGAGAAAGCCCCAGAAAAGGTTATCACCTTGGCTGACTGTGTTTTCTTGCTTTGCACAAGCAAAGAGAGAGTCTGGTAGGTACGAAACGGCGAAGAGCAAAGCACGAGGTTTGGAAATGTACTTGTTGAGTTCCTGCAAAAACTTAAGTCTCGCTGTCTGTGCTTGTGTTAATTGTAGAGCTTTTCTCAGAAGGGCTGATGTACTTGGAGGACAGATCAGTGACTTGTTATCAGTGCAGGGAGATGCCCAGTGCTGATGGAACTGCTTTAGGCATCATTTTCTGTAACTGGAGTAAAACATTCTCCTTTTCTCTTCCAATTTGTTGTTTCTGTCCTGGCAGCTTCATGAAAAGTTTGATCATCTAAAGAGGACTCACCAAGAGGAGAAGAAGAAAGTGGAAGATAAAAAGAAGGAGCTTGAGGAAGAGCTGAACAACTTTCAAAAGAAGAAGGCGGCAGCTCAGCTATTACAGTCACAGGCTCAGCAGGCAGGTTCTCAACAAACCAAGAAAGACAAGGACAAGAAAAAGTAAGCGGATGTCATCCACATCCTTTGTAGGGCTTATTACAGTTTGGGGGGGTTGTTTTTTTTCTTTCTTGCTGCATGTCTGTATTTGCTTTTTCCCATTACCAGACTGGAAACTGGGCTTTTATCAGACTGGTCAAATAAAATATTTTTTCTAAAGGGTGGGCAGGGATACGATCTTAATTTTTCTCTGGAGGAGTATCTTCAAATCTTGCCAAAATCTGACCAGAATGGGAGAGCAATCAAATGGTGGAGACCTGTGATCTGCCCAGCATCTTCTGGAACAGCTCTGGGATGTTCTGGCTGCAGATTCATCTGTCTGAGCCAAAAGTAAAAAGGGGTCTCTAGCTATCCTTCCTCTCACCCAACAGTAGTCCCCAGTTCCCATTCTTAAGGTTATAGTTATAAGTAGAAGTAGATCAGAAACCAAAACCACCATGTTATTTTTATGTGGAAATCTTAGTGCCAAAAGCGAATATTTGGAAGCTTGCTTTAGAGTCAAGAAGTTTTTCTTAGCAATTGCTATGGTACCATAACTGCAGGTAAATGGCATTTGTACTTGTATTGAGTTGACATAATAAGCTGCAAAACGCTCGTACGTTTTAATAAACACAATAGCACTGTTTTCTACTATTTTATATTTGTATGCTAGGAATATGATTCTCTACCCTCCAGTGCTCTGAGATTTCAGTTACGTCAGTAGTAACCAAGTATATCTGTGGACAGTCACTTGGGAAGCAGTTTTTTAAGATGTGTTCAGTTTGGACCTAACTCTGCTTCCATTGAAACTGGAAGAACATTGCCATTGATTTGGGCTCAGGGTTAAGTCCTTGCAGAGCTCTTCTGAAAACCTCTCGTTTGATCCAAATAGGTTTAATCTCCTTCTTGCGGCCTACACTTGGAGCTGGCTATGTTTAGCTTGCTGGTAGTGCAAGAGACTTGTAGTCATGACTTGCTACTGGCTACTTCACTATCCTTTTAAGAACAAAGGTCCACTTAGATACTGCGTGCATAGTGAAGCCAGGCAGACACTGCAGAGGTGAAGCTGACTGTGCACAGCTTGTTTGCATAGTGTAGTGAGAGAGATTACTGTAACAGTGGCTACTTTGAAGCCTCCTGTTGTTACTTCCATCCATTTTTTCCAGTACCCAGTAAGAAGATGCTCATGTGAGTCCTTTCTGGGTCATCTGCGATAATGGCAATAGTTGATAACTGCAATCACAGAAAGCTGCAAAAGTGGTAAAATAGCCATTCTCTCTGGGAAATGCTTTTTTCAATCTACACACAAAAATGACAGTTTCATGCAACGCAGTGCATTTCTTAAGTTGATTCTGGCAGAGTAAGCTACTCTATTAACACTAGGTTGTCACTGTTAAAAGAACTGAAATGCTGATAGGAATGTGGTACAGACTCTTCTGTCTCCTTTGCTAACTTCAGCTAGCTCTGAGCTGACTTATAGTACGGGCTGTGAGGGTCTGTGGTATTGCATATATACCGGTATATTTTTATATTTTGGGAAGTCATGCAGATGCTTACTGCACATCCCATCTCCACAGCTGGGTCAGTGGCTGTCATTCATCACTCCTGCCCCTGGCTTTCCACAGGGAAGTGGGGAGGATCTGGGGCTAGTTCCTCTTCTGATGTAAATTGTTGTAGCTCCTATGGAGCTGTGCTGCTTTACGCAAACTGAGAACTTGGCCTTTGGCACCCACTGAAAGGGCAACTGTGTGCTGCATGCTCTGCTTGGCTAAAGGAATCATTACAGCCTGATCGGTGCTATGCCAAAGTGTAGAAGTGAGAAATGTCTGGCAGCTGACATCCCACTCCATGAGAATGCCTGCAAACAGGGCAGGCTAAAACACCAGGTGCAGTAGCTGCTTCAGCGGTTCTGTAGTGTCTGAATTACTAACAGAGGCTTTAAAGGGAAATGCTGATGCGTTTCCTTGTAGCACATCCTGGTTTTTCTAAAGGCTTTAAATTTCTCTTGGCACTCCGATGAAAAGCCGTGGATTGTATAGGTAAGGCTCTCAACCCCCTGTGCTGCCATGGGCTGTGGTGGTGCTTGTGTGGCTGCCAGAGGAAACCTGTGCCATGCACAATAGCCTCCCAGCCAGAAATTCACAGGAATACTTCTTTCCCAAGATGGGATCTGTTTTCTTCAGCTTGGACAACAGAGACTCTCCACTGTGCTGTACAAGCTGAAGGGAAGGCTCAGCACCAAGGCTGCTGCTGGCACAAGTCCATGAGGTAGACATCTTGGCTGTATCTGCAGGAACAAGCTGTCTTCTACCTGATTTTTTTCTACTCCACTTCTTAGAATCCTGTATAGATTTATGATTTTTCCATCTTAAATTATTGCAGTTCCGTCCTGATGACAGAGCTGCACAGGACAGCACATCTATGTGCTTCAACCCCTTGAGTCAGTGTAGCACAGACACATACTCCAAGACTTCCTTAAGTCTGAGATTAAGCATGCTGCCATAATTTTGGGATGGGATTGTGCTTCAAACCCACACAATCTGAAGCTGGTTCCTGCCAGTGGGTTTGGCAAAACCTTTCGAAAACAAGAGCAGCAAATGGCCTTTTGGTTCTTCCTGTTTGGTAGATCACCATTTGCAGGCCTCAGTGTCATTGGGTTACTTGCTCATCCTTAACTTGCCTAGGAGCCAGGACCATCTGTTTGGGCTCTGTTTCTGCCAGATACTTCTGAAATCCAGATGGAAAAACTAAGTTCCAGCTTCATTTCAATATAATAATTTCCAGTCTAGTGTTGACTCTCTAGGTGTTATGGTCCATGCTTATTCCCAGAGCAATCCCTTAAGTATAGTGTACATGTCATGGCCTGGCCCAGCACTCTGTTAAAAGGATTTAATGATGTCTAAAGAATCTGAATTGGTCTTGAAAACCAATTCTGGGGGACCTCGTGGTGCTCAGCTCTGAGATATCTGCATTTCAGAAAAGTCTGGCACAGCTTTCTACAAGAGTGCCCATGTTCAAGTAACCCAGACTGAACATCTCCAGTCGTGTCCTGCCACCACACATCTCCTGAAAATGTGTAGTTTAAAGGCACCAGCCACATACACCTGTAACCCTGGATAACTTTGGTGGTTGAATGTTCAGTAGTTCTTCCCTGTTGGATTTATTTTTTACTTGTGCTTGTCACATAGGCTAGAGTAGAGCTCAGTCTTGAGATTCAATTTCTTTTTAATTCCATAATCCATCTGCATGCCCACCCACCACAATGGGTTGCTGGTGTCCTAGTGTCAGCTCTCCCAGCTTTTCTTGATTTTGGTGGTTTTGATTTTTTATTTTTTTTCATTTTGGGTTCTGTTATTGCTAACTTTTTGTTTTTGTTTTTGTTTTTTGTTCTTTTTTTTTTAACTTGCAGTGCAAGCTTCACATAAAGCCTGTCAAGCCAAGGATGTTCCTGCATTCATCTGCTTTTGCAGTAATGTTTCTGCCATCTGTTTTTTCTTTTTTTTTTTTTTTTCATTTTTAACCTGAATAACTATTAACTCATCTAATAACGTAGTGGGAACAAAAAGGAAGAAGGGTTGCGTGCAGGACTTTGTGCAGCAGGAAACTGAGGGGGGAGGAAGGGAGGGAAACAAATGATACTACGCGTTTTTCTGGTCCATACCAGCAATAGAAAATCACTCTTGGCTCAGGTCTGAACTGAGTCAGGGCTGGAGTTTAGTTCTACCTGTATCCCTTCAGTAGCTAATGTGTTAGAGCAAAATGAGCCCTGCTGTTGGGGTGGGATAAGGGGAGGGGGGTATCTGTGTGTAGATAACAAAAGTTTAACTGACCTTGCATGCTATTACATTTGCATGATTTTTTATTTTTTTAAATTAGCTGCTGTTTTTGTTGTCTGACTGGATAACATTAGTTGGGCTGGGTTTGTTACCATGTGCTGGCATATTTTTACAGCCACCTTTTCAGGTCAGCGTAGCAGCTCCTTGCTGAATGTAGTGGTGGGAACTGAGCGGTGCTGCAGGTACCTGGAAAAAGGACCTCTTTTCATGCTTTCCATGCATTGCTTGACATTGAAACCCAACTTAAAAGAGTGCTGGGTTCTTAGACTATTAGCAAGAAATAGCAGCCCCTAAGGAATCAAATGCCCAGGCAAGAGAAGGCGTACCCTTCCACATCCCCCTGCTGCCTTTGGGAGTGTTCCTGCGTACACATAAATACAGACCCTGTAGTTGCAGGATCCAGGTTTCCATGCTGAGACAATGCTGTTTTGCCAACCAAATAGTGGTTAATGTGAAAGGTGGGAATTTGGGTCCTCATCTCTGGAGCTGCACACTCCAGAGCAGAAAACATGCCAATTCCGAAACGTTGATGGATGACTGCCCCATTGCCTGAAAAGCATTAGAAAGTTAATGCCTCCAACCCCGGGGAGCTTTGCACAACAGCTAACAGCCTGAGAGAAAGGCTTTCTCCAGACAGATTCATGTTGAGGAGGGGCCAGAGGTTTGTCACTACCTGCAAGTGACTCAAGATTCTTGCAGGGATGGAGAGCAGCCGAGCAGGGAGATGTGACATACAAACAAGACACCTCTAGCATAACCAGGCCTCACTCTGTGGCCAGCATGGTGTGAAATCGGTCTGCTTAATGTCTATTTTCTATGCCATTGCTTTTTGGACAGAATCTTTCCCTTCCTACCCAAGAAGTGGCGAGCCATGCTTACACTTTGACTGCTGGATTTCTTTCTCTTCTGCTGATGTACTGCCAGCATTTCCTCTGCTCCTAGCTAGGTAGTCTCCTCTTTCTTTCTTTAAAGCACTCCTAAAAATAACTCTCTCCACCTGAGTCTCACGCACTGCAGTTCATTGCTTGCTTCTGGGATGGAATTTCTTGCCTCTCTAAATGTTCAAAAGAAGTCAGAATTGTCACTTTTTTCTGAAACAAGTCAGAATCACATTTTTTGGAGAGTTGGCTGACAAAACGTGTTTGGGAGTTGACTTTAATTGTTGTTTTTTTTTAAATCCATGCTTTTTAACCCTTACCACTTAAACATGGCTTTGGGAAGAGGAAATACAAATGCAGCCTCGTGAACATGCAGCAAAAATTGTAGATGAGTAAGCTGGGAATAAAAGTCATTGTCTTTTCTTTTGATCACACCTCCTGGTCTTATCAACCATGATGTGCTTCCATCAGGTTAAACACGTTTCTTAGGGAGCTATTTAGAAAAACAAAACTATGATTCTTCTGGCTTCTGGCAAATTCAAGTTTAAAATCTTGAGTTATCAAGGGAGAAATCTGTTTGCTGGCACGAGCTATTTAGTCACATCACACACTCCTGTCTCAAGCCTGAATGCTCGTGGCAGTGTGCTTTGCTTCAGCTGTCTCTGTGCACGTCCTCTCTTTAATTACCAGTGCTTTGTGCCAAGTAGAAAACTTAATTTTACCATTTATTTGTCCTGCTTCATTTGACAGCCTTTCCAAGGGATGTTGGCAGGGGAAGTCAGCTGAGTCTGGCAGTTTTTGTTGTTTTTGTTTTTAAAAAGAAAGCTGTGGCCAAATGCATTAACATCTTTTTGATTGGGTTTCTTCCTCCAGTGAGAAGCAGGCTGTTCTGGGGAAACTGGGCTTAAACCATAACCTTGCTAAAGTGAAAGGTATTGTTTTGTTTTCTCTGCCCAAGGAGATGTTAAAATCTTTTTCTCCTCAGTCCCCCAGGCCATGTTTAGCTGGTTATTGCTGCACTTCTTTCTTTTCTTTACTTGCGCCTTTTTTCACAGTAGTCCCTGGTTCTGCATGGAGTAAGCGATGCTTTCAGTCTAGCTGGATATGCTTTCACCTTGCATGTAAGTACAGTAGTAAGAGATGCACCTTTCCACTCACTGCTGATATGGGCAAACCAGTTGTGTTTTTCTGGGGTCTTCCTTTAAGTCCACTTACTTACAAGTGGCGTTGTTGAAAACCATGTAAAAACTTTCTGTAATAATCTGCTTTTGCTGAGATTTTGAAGGAAAAAAAAAGCCATAGGGAACATAACAAACATAACATCCAGCTGCTGTTGAATGTCTGAAGTTACCCTGCATGGCTCTGTGGGTCTGCTGGTGACAGTGGGGACAGCAGCATGGTTGTGTTGCTCATGAGGCATTGCAAATGTCAGCGTGGTGAAGAAATGATGATCGGTAGCTGCTAACGCTGCACGTCCCTGACACTGATATAAACACAGGAATAGTATGGATGAGCAGGAAAGCGTAGGGGCATTTGTATTTCTGGGATGATGGTGTTCCCCATGCAGGGAATGAACCCCAGAGATGAGAAGGAAACACAAGGCAGGCCACCAAGAGGGCTGTGATGGCTCTGCAGAGGTGGGCACACGTATGCCCGGTAGGGCGGGGGTTACCTTTTGGGTAACCTACCCCACACTTCTCTGTGGCCCCAAAACCACCGTACTTGTTGCACTGCGGTGTGTGTGCTTTTGACAGCTTGAAACCCCATCAAGGAGATTTGTATCTCGGTGTCTCTCTCTAAGCATGCCCTTACCTAACATGAGCAGTGTTTCTGTGGGTAGTTCTCATCCCGCTTCTCCTGAGGTGTCCGAGTGCGGATGGAAATGTCTTTTTGTGTATGCCACACCAGGTGTGTCCATCTGAAACCAGCTACCACTCGCCCTCTGAGAAGTCAGCAGTGCACACTTGACTCTCTGCAAGGGCCCTGGCTGCATTTGCTGCATGCCAGATCCACGTCACTCTTGTTAGCATGGGACAATACGATATGAAGGGTTTTTTAATTAACGGAAAATAAAGCTGTGAACAGCAGTAGAAATATTGTATTTGTATACATTTTTAATATTCTGATTGCCTTAAACTATAGATGTAGAACTTTATTACCTTGCTATTTGAAAATAACCCATGTTTGTTACTAAATAATTGTGTAACCTACATACAGTGTTAATGCAAATTATATGTATGCATCTGTTAGATATTGTCACTTTATTTGATGTTAAAATATTTTTTTTTTAATTACAAATTGAATAATAACCTGGTAGCATAAGCTCAGTTCTTTCTTGTATGTGCTTTAGGCTGCGTCCACAAGCAGTGCCAGCACTCGAAGTGGGGAGAGGAAATATATTTTTACCCAAACGCTTTGGTCTTTGAGTTGCCTTTGTGAGCTGGCTTTGCCGCTGCCGTCGCGGTGTGACGGGAGGGCTGAGGCAGTGCAGGTGCCTGGCGGGCTGTGCCGTGCTGTCACACTGTCTCCATGCACTTGTGTTGGTGTCTGTCAGTCGCTGCCTGTGGCCGTCCCGAGCGCTGTGTGTGCTCAGGCCTCTGCTGCTGCTGCGGTGCCGTTGGGTTTGGATGACACCTCCCCAGCACGCTCCCTTCCTTCATGTTTTAAAATGCCGTCCCTCCTTTTCTTTTGTCTCTCACCTTCTGTCTTCCATTTCGATTCTGAACTTCTGTTTCTTTCTCTCTTTCTCTCTGTAGCTTCTTCTTTCTGTAAACGCCATTTGCCACAGCCCTGTGCTCTCCCAGCAGACAGCGGGCGCCGGAGGAGCCCATGGGCCCCCGCCGGGAGAAACCATCTCATTCCTCCATCTCGTCCACCCTCCTCTCCTCCCTTTTGTTTCCCTCCTGTGCATCTTGAGGGCGCGTGGTGCTGTGTGTCTGTGCTGGCCGTCTGCACAACCGAGCCTGCCAAATGTGACCGAGGTAATAACGACACGAGGGGAGAGCTTGGCCATGATATGCAATATTGCACTGCGATCTCTTCCCCTCTCCCCATTTTTTTCCCTTTTGCCACAACGTGCTGCTGGCAATGAAGAGACTGGCGGACTGGCTGGTGGTGTCTGTGTAGCCAGAGGGCTCCTCGCTGCCTCTGAATCTGGAGCTGGGACATCACAGCCTCGTCACAAGTGTGTCCCATGCTCCTCTGATGTGATGAAAATGTGTCCACAGACTCAGGTGCCTCCTTGGTTTTGATACGGAGCTGCGAGAAGCAGAGGTGGCTGCTGTTGTGTACTGCTGCACTGATGGATCTGTCCTGGACACTCAAGGCTTTGTTATTTTCTGGCTGTACAAGCAAAGTAGGTGGCTTCTCTTGTACGATTGAGCCGCACCGACTTCTGCTTGGATTAATGGCTTCGTTTTGCGCTTATGAAGCCTAATTAGTAATGATTTTTTTTTTTTTCCATCCATGAACATGGGGTACTTGTTTACTTCAGCTAAAGGCTCAAAAAGTGCCAAAGAGTTGTTCATAGGTTAGAAGGAAGCCTCTAAGCCTGGTGTGCAGTGACCTCTAGCTGCTCTGCTGCGGGTAGAAGGAGGCAGCCTGAGCCCCTTCCAATGTTTCCTGGAGTCACGGAGTCATGCACTTTAACTAAATACTGATGGTTTCTTCTCATCTGCACACCTCAATCAAAGAATTAACCCCCTTTACTCTGCCGTGGATGGGTACTGCTGAATGTTTTCCTCTTCCCATCAGTGTGTGGAGCACGAGCTGCCAGGGGTTAGCTGGAGCCAGCCGCCTGTTTCCCAGAAGCACAATGTTTTCCAGCTCTGCTCAGCAATGGGGGCTGAAGCTCCTTCCACACGGGTGCCTGTTTTTCTCAAGTGGTTAAAAAACCCTACAGACTGTTTATCCTGAAAACAACCAAGTAACTTCGTAGTTACCATCTGAAAGATTATTAAATATTGGCCTTGTGTGTATGCAGTAGAAATTGTTATTTTAAATTTTTGGTGAGGGCTTCTCCGGTGGTAGCAGTCTGGCCTGTGAGACCCCAGAGCAGTGCTGCAGCCCTTCTCTTGAAATAGAGTCCCTGGCTTCTTATCATGCAGTCTATTCTCGTGGGTGGGCACAGAGCTGTCTGGCTGAGCCCTGCTCTACGTCAGCTCACAAGTGCCTTTATTTTGCAGTTCCTGGAGTTGTGCTGTGCTGATGCCTTGAGTCCTGCATGCAGCTCTGGCCCTCGTGTCTCCAGAAGGACACAGTGGAGGTAGCGAATGGCACTGCAGTGCTAAATGGGATGGAGCAGCAGCCTGCCTGGTGAGACTGCTATTGGGAGAAGGAAAAGCTGAGATGAGAGTGAGCGTTGGTTCTGTGGTGAGCTGAAGGTTGCAGCCCATGTCCTCTAGAGGTCCCTTCCAGCCCTAATTTTTCTTTAAGTCTGTGTTACAGTGTAAGCCCGCTGCACGGGGCTGGTGGTAGTTCCTACCTGCTGGTAACCAAATCGACAGGACCAGAGGCAGGGGTGTGCTCAGGGAAGGAGGAGGGAATCTGCTCTAACCATTGTGACTGATTTTCCTGGGGAGCAACTATGAACTTCCAGGTGTTGTCCAGGCTTAAGGACGTAAACAGTATCAGCAGGAGGTTAAAAAAAAAGTAGTATGTTAACAGAGAATAGAGCTGTAAGGAATCCTAAGGGATTGAACAAATTAAAGCCTCTGCCATCCTTAACCCGATGGATACTGTTTGTGTCCCTTGTGTGTGGACATGGGGCAGGAGCTGAGCTGGGAGCTTTCAGGCTTTGCTGTGCTTCCTCCCTCACACCCAGGTGTTACAGGTAGAGGTGTCAGCCAGGGAGGGGATGGCAGTGTGAAACTGTGCTGCTGGACAGCCCAGTGCTCATTTGTCGATTGGTATCACCGAATGTCCCCAGCGGAGCTGGAAAGCAGCCTCACCCACAAGAGTCAGCAAGTGCCTGACATTCTCAGGTCTTCCAAGCAGACACTTTGGGGCACAAAGGGAGAATGAGGTGTTGCAGCGTAGTGGCTGCACAGCATGCAAAGGTGAGCTGGCATTATTGCTACAGATCGTGCTTGGAACAATTGGCAGTGCTCTGCTGACACAGGGATGTGGTGGTTGTACACTTAGGGTGTTGACATGAGTGTTTTAGGTTGGATGTTAGGAAACATTTCTTCTCAGAAAGAGTGGTGATGCAGTGGCAAAGGCTGCTCAGGGAGGTGGTGCAGTTACCATCCCTGGGGGTGTTCAGGGACCACAGAGATGTGTCACTGAGGGACGTGCTCAGTGGGCATGGTGAGGATGGGCTGGGGTTGGACTGGATGTTCTTAGAGGTCTTTTCCAACCTTCGTGATTCTATGATTCTGTGTTTTGGGACATGCAACGCTTTTATCCCAGTGGTGTTGAGGGAGATCAGGCAGCCTGTGGTTTCCAACTGTTTTTTCCTTCCTGCTGGCTATTCCCATGAGCCATATTCTCTGCCCCAGCTGCTCTGGAGCCCTGCTTGAGCAGGCAGACCTTGTACTAAGCACGCTAGGCAGTATACATACTGTGCTGGACTGGGGTGCTCTGAAGACTGTGAGGGCTCACCAGCATCAGGGAATTACCTCTCATGTGCCTGCAGAGCTGGGTACATGCATTTGGGTCATGGATTTGTAAAGTTAATCTTCCTGGTAGCTGTGTTGGTTCTCCTTAGCAGTGCTGGTCAGGCTCCTGTCTGTACCAAGATACTTCTGGCACAAAAAAAGTTTGCAATCACAAAGTGTGGGTTTTATTTTCAGAAGTGCCATGGGCCTGCAGGCCAGCCAGGCAGCAGCCCACCAGCAGGACTGCATAGGCAGGTCTGCCAGCCCAGGGCAGGTATCAGCTGTCCAAACTGCACGCTGTATCAGTGGTTGCCTGTATCCAAGTGAAAGACAATTGGTATGGCTTTGTGCTCAGCACCAGCAGAGCAGGGTGTCTCCCTCTGAAATATATTAAGGCAATTGGGGGCTGGGGAAGTGTTATGTTTGTTACACAGGGCAGGCACTGCTCTCTCATTCCCTAACCTTCCAGGAGGAGAGATATCAAGAATGGAAACTGCCTCCATGCAGAGGCTCACAGCCATGGCTACAGCTCACTGGAGAAGCAAAGAACTACTCCAGAAGTCTCAGTGTTACCTTACGCTGAGCTTCCTTGCCTTCTGTTCCAGCTCATCCCCTGCCAGCTGGCACAGCCAACACCTTTCCTTTTCCCCCCTTTTCCCCCCTTTTCCCCCCTTTTCCCCCCTTTTTCCCCTTTCCTTGTGCCATACCAGTTCCTTGCCTGTGGGTCTGCAAATTGGTTCGGGCCTCGTGAGCGTTCTACTGCTGCTGCCAAATAGGGCAGGGGAAGACTTCTTTTTTAACCACAAGGAGAGAAGCATGTGGAGAGAGGAAGCCAGTATAAGTTGAGGCATAGAGTTATTGCTGCTAGAGGACACCCATCTTCTCTTCCCCTTTGATGTGTCTGATGCAGTTGGAAGCCAACTAAAATAAGCTGCAGTCCTACAACACTCCCTCCAGGTTTGTACCACGCAGGTCCGCAGAGCTGGGAGTCACAAGAGCCCTGACTTGCCTCTGACTGCAGCCACAGCCAGGGCTCTCGGCTCTGTCAGGATGGGCTGGATGGAGCACTCTGCTCACATGCAATGTGCTTTGCTGGTGGGCAGCCTGCAGGTTACCTGGCACTTGTGATGAATCTACTGCTGGAATTTGGGGCTGGTTTTGCTCTGGGCTGTAACACTGCGTAATTTAACGGAGAAAGATGTGTGCACTGAAGTGAGTTTGAAGTAATGAGCTGTAACCCCAGCGGGCGGTTCCCTTCCACAGCACCCTGGTTGCCCAGTTCTTGATCTCACAGGTGTGACACAGAGCAGCTTCCTCACGGCCTCCACGTAAAATGGATCCCAAACCCAGGTAAGAAGTGTGAAACAGGACTCGGAATCCAGGACAACTTTCTTTATTGCTACCAGAAGGCTTTCATCAGTACAATGGCTCCAAATACAATACCTTCCTCAGGGCTGTGGAGAGAGCTTACAATTGGGACAGGTCATTCTGAGAAACAGAGGTGTAACATTTAAAAGAGACAAGCTTTTAAAGGTTTTACTCTTGGTTAGAAGTTACATGAACACAAAACTTGGGGTTAGGTTAGGGGCCCTTGGGGTTTTTTTGGGGGTTTTTTTGTTTTGATTTGGTTTTGGGGTTTTTTTTTTGTTGTTTTTTGTTTTTTTTTGTGACTGGTAATTACAAACCTGTCAAACTTCAGGCTGCCCAGCACTCCACCAAGCAGTGCTGATCACATGCTAAGCTTATAGACACACAGAAAAAAACCAGATTCGGCAGAATTTAAGGTTTGCACTTGATGTCTAGAGTCAAATGCT